GCGCGACGACTTGCGGCTGGCCTTCAAGCTGATATGCGACTGGCCGTCGTCTGTCATGAAGCTGGCCTTCTTCTACCCCACTGACTGTTCCGACGGCGTGGTGCACGAGGCTGGGCTTTCGCGGGCGGAGGCCGCCTGTGGCTCGGAGCAGCTGCCAGTCGGTGGCGATGATTGGGGTCCTGGCCCCAAGGCGGCCTTCAAGGCCTTGGGGGCGCCTTCTCCTGGGCCCGCGCCGTCCATTGACGTGCCGCCGCCTGTCGCGGCCGTCGACGCTTCTTGCGTCGCGAAAGGCTTGGCGGAGAGTGGCGAGGCCGACGCTGCCGAGGCGTCGTCGGCCTGGGGATGTGCTTGGAAGCATGTGTGGGCTGCCCTCGGCGACTGGCTGGCCGAGCTACAGATGTCGCTCTACCGCCTCCCCAGGGTCGTCAGCTTGGAGGCGTGCGGCTCAGGCGAGCTCCTGGCCGCGCAGACGGGGTTGGCGGGCGACGCCTTCGCCGCCGCCTTCATGAAGGTCATGCTCCTTTCTCCGCTTGGCGGGATGAGAGCCGCCTGCCCGACCGTGGATCCCGCTGCGGTCGTTGACGATGCGGAGCTGCAGCGATGGGGGGGGGGGGCTCAAGCGAGTGGCCAGGGGCCTCGCCATGGCGGCCGAGGCAGTGGTCAAGGGGCCAGCAGACGTGAACCTGACCATTGCCGTCACGAAGTCGAGGGTCCTGGCTAGCTGCAAGGGCCTCAGTGCCACGCGCCAGATGCATCTGGGCTCCACCACGGGTTCGAATGGGGTCAGAGCGGTGCGCAACATCAGGAGGCAGCGCGTCGCGCATAATCGTCTTCGCCTTCCTCGTTTTCGAAGGCAGCTGGGACTTCGCCGTGGCAGAGCGGCAGCGGCCACGATCGTCTCGACGGAGGTGCTGGACGTGCCGCACTGTAACCCGATCCACATGGGCCCGTCACGGAGCCTAACCAGGCGCGACCCGTTCAAGGTGGCGTGTGGTGGAGTCCACTGCAGTGTCTGTCCACAGGCGGCGCGTGCGGACGTGTGCATCATGCGACTGCTCGAGGGCCCGCGCCTCGACAAGCTGTTCGCGCCTGCGGAGGGCGGTGCGAGGAGCAGGCCAGCGGTCTCTGCGCTGGCCTCTCCAGTCGCAGCCTCGGTGGCGGGCGCGGCGGCCCGCGGATTCGCCCGGGCAGTGCAGTGCGGTCAGCCGCGGTGCCCGAGGAGCGACGCTGGTGTCCTCTCGCCGCTTGCTACTGAGGCACCAGTGCCTTGCCGCGACGGCGCACAGGTCGGCTCCCCTGCAGCCGCGGGCGAGCCGCCAGCCGTGGATCCAACCGTGCTGCGGCGCCCAGCGGCGGCTGCCGGGTGCAGCAGCAGCAGCGGCGGCCAGGGGGCGCCTCCTGGCGTTGCTATCCTGCGCGAAGGCAGCAGGGGCACAGACGGCGTTGGGCATCTGGTGTTGAGCACCAACGGCTACCGTGTGTGCACCCGGCGCAAGACCTACGCCTACGCCACGGAGGTCAATGGGAAGCGCCGTTCGCTCGGCGTGACGTGCGACGCGGACATGGGCACTGCGTTGAGGCAGCGCATCTGTGTCAGTGGTTTCAACGGCAGGGCTGAACCCCGAGGCGGGGATGGGCCTGGCTGTGTGTGGGAAGCGCCTCCCACCTCCAGAGGTATTCTATCAGAGCTGGACACAGTTTCGATAGGATCCTATCAGAGCGGGGCCGGGCTCTAGGGAGATCATATCAGAGCGGGCGAGGTCTAGTAAGGATTGTGGAGCTGGACCGAGCTCTAGCAGGATCCTGTTCGAGCTGGAACGAGGTCACATAGGATTCTAGTAGAGCTGGGCCGAGCTCAAGTAGGATCTCATTGGAGCTGGGCCGAGCTCTAATTGGATTCTATTCGAGCTGGGCCAGCCCTAGTGAGGTCGCTTTTCGGTTCTAAAAGAATCCGATCAGAGGTGGTCCCGAATCTGAGTAGGATGTAGGGTCTTATCAGAGCTGGACACAGGTCTAGTAAGATTCCTGCCGGGCTGGGCCGAGCTCTAGTAAGATCCGAGTGTAATTGGATAAAGCTTTAGGATCCTACGCGTGCTGGGCCGAACTTTAGTGTGATATTCTAGTCGAATTCGGTTCTACTAGGACCGTGGTGTAATATGATATTGCATTCGAGCTGGGTACAGCTTTAGTGGGAATCCCGCAAAATCTGGACCGAGACCCTTAGACTGGTCCTGTGAGAACTGGCTTGACTTCCAGTAGTATCAGATCAGAGCTGGACCGATCTCTATTAGGATTCTTGTAGTGCTGTACCCAACACCAGCAGGATCCTGTTAGAGCTGGACTGAGCTCTGGTAGGATTAAATATGAGCCCAGCTCGAGTACGATTTTATCAGAGCCGGAGCCAGTTCGAGGAGGATCTTAGTAGAGTTGGGCCCCAGTCGGATTTTATCCCAGCTGGGCACAACCCTAACAGGATTCTATTAGGGCTGGGCCCAGCTCTAGTAGGATCCGATTAAGGCTGGACCGAGCTCAGATATGGTTCTATTCGAGCCGGATGCAGCTCTGGTGAGATCCTATCGGGGCTGGATCCACCTCTAGTAGGTTCTTGTCAGATCTGGGTAGGATCTTGCTAGGGTTGGACCCGGCTCTAATGGGATTCTAAACAGCTGGACCCAGCCTTAGAAGGATTCTCTCAGAGCTTGACCCGGCTTGAATAGGATATCTTTTGAGGGCTGGGCTGAGCTCTCGGGGGGTGCTTTCAGGACCGGAGGCAGCTTGAGTAGGATCCAATTCGAGCTGGGTCCAGCTCTAGTCGGAGATTCTATGCAAATTTGACCAGGATCTAGTATGATATTGTCAGAGCTGGTCCGAGCTTCGGAAGCGTCGTGTTAGAGCTGGGCCCAGCTGTGGTAGGTTCCTATTAGGGCTGGGTCCAGCCCTAGTGGACTTCTCTTCGAGCTGGGCGCATCTCTAGTGGGATTCAATTTGTGCTGGGCCGAGCTCTGGTAACATATTCTTAGAGCTGGGCGCAACCCCAGTCGGGTTCTACCGAAGCTGGGCCGAGCTCCAGCAGGATCCTATTAGAGCTGGGCCAGGCACTAGTGTGAGATCCTATCCGACTTGAGCCGGGCTCTAGTTGGATCCGAACCAGCTGGGTGCAGGTCAAGTCAGATTCTATGAGAGCTGGGCTGAGCTTTAGTACGAGATTCTAGTAGAGCTGGCCCCAGCTCTAGCAGGATATCCTTTCAGAGCTGGACACTTCTAATAGGATCCTACTAGAGCTGGGCCGAGCTACGACAGAATCCAATAAAAGCTGGGACGCGCTCAAGTAGGATCCTATTAGAGCTGGGCGCAACTCTAGTAGGACCGAGCTGCAGTAGGAACTTCTATCAGAGCTGGACCCAGCTCTGGTAGGAGATTTTTTCAGACGTGGACCCAGCTTTAGTAGGATTTGTTGTCAGATCTGAACCGAACTCTTGGTAGGATCTGACTAGAGCTGGACCTTTGACGAGCAGGAGATTCTATGTGGGCTGGACTGAGCTCCAGTAGGATTTTATACAAATTGGACCGAACCTGAACCTGATTATATTAGAACTGGACCAGTTCTAATAATTTCCGATCAGAGCTGGATCCAGCTCGTGTAGGATATATTATTAGAACCGGACCCAGCTGAAGTTGGATACTAGTAGCGCTCGGCCCAGCTCAAGTAGGATCTTATTTGTGTTGGGCCCAAGTCCAGTATGATCATATCAGAGCTGGACCGAGCTCTCGTAGGCTCTTAGTAGAGCTGGGTTCAGCTCTTGTAGGACCCTTTAAGAGCTGATCACCGATCTAGTATGATCCTATTAGAGCTGGGCACAGCTCTAGTTGGCTTCTATCAGAGCTGGGCCGAACTCTGATAGGATCCTATGAGAGTTCGGCCGAGCTGCAGTATGATGATGTTAGAGCTGGATCGAGTTCTGCAGCACTTATATCGTAACTGGACCCAACTCTAGTAGGATATTATTGTAGCTGGACGTTGCTCTAGTAGGATTCTATTCGAACTGGGTTCAGCTCTAGTGAGTTTCTTTCAGAGCCCGTCACAATCTCAGTCGGATTTGATTCAAACTAAACGCAGCTCTAGTGTGTTTCTGTTAGAGCTGGACGCAGATCCAGTAGGATCTTGTTAGAGTTTGACCCAGCTGTTAGTAGGATTACACTAGTCTTTTGCCACATGAGATTGCATCGCTGGCGTGTACATCGGCGCTCTGTTCAGAATTGACTTGGGAACCCTTCCTTGTTTAATTCCACTAGCGTGTGATGGTGCTTGGTTGCGCGGTTGCGCTTGCGACCCCCCCCCGCAACTTTGGGGCAGGATGCCAGGGAGCCGTCCTACCCTTGTTTTTGCTGCTGCTGATGGTGCGGGTGATGCTGATGATGATGATGCTGCTGATGATGATGCTGATGGTGATGCTGGTGATGCTGACTATGAGGATGATGACGATGGCCAGCCAACTCCCACGGTCGGCGTTGCTTCCTTTTTCTCCCGTTATTGTTGCTGTCGGGATCAGGGCCAGGCACAGCTTTGAGCCCGCCGCTCATCGCTCCTCTGCGGCACTGGCCTCACTGGCGCGTGTGCCAGGGTTTCCCGCCGAAGTACAGCCAGTGCGCCTAGAAAGGACGACCGCCTTCATCTATGGTGCCCTTGCGTCCTTGCCTCTGCGGCCCGTCCTGTGCTGTTTTCACTGGTCGCCCGCCGCCATAAAACATCTAATTTCGGCCTCGAAGGTTCTTGCGTCCTTACCACCCGTCCTTAATACAGGTCTCGACTGTAGATCATTGGTACCCTCCTGTCTACAGCCCTGGCATCCATTCGTGAGCGAGTTCGCAAGGGTGCCCTTGCGCTCTTGCCTCATCGGCCGGGTCTCAGTCGATCCTGTTGGCAAGCCCTGTGGCGTTTGCTCAGCAGCTTGGGCGCCTAACGACCGAGCATCCTTATCCGCCTGTATCCCTACTCGAAGTGCCGCGGATCTACTTCTCCTTGGTCGATTCCTCCAGCGTTTGCGCCCTGCAGCTTGGACGCCCAAAGTCCGAGCATCCATATCCGCCTGCAGCCCTACTCGAAGCGCCGCGGCTGTACTTCTCCTCGGGCGATTTGATTATATTTCGAGTGGTGCCCTTGGGCGCGCCCGCGCCCAACGAGGCACGCTCCCCTCGCGGCCCCTGCGGGCCCCTCTCCCGCGCGCACGGCCTGATGGGGGA